GGCACCAAGATACCGCATGGAGTAGTCTACACCCTGCACCATGCCCGTCGACAACCAGGTAAGGGAGCATCCCTGGTCCCACGACACAGACACACACACACATGCACACAAAACCCAAAGATTGAACTTGATGGACCTGTGTCTGTATTTAACCATAACAAGTACCGTGTTTCCCCGAAAATAAGACAGTCTTATATTTTTTTTTCACAAAAAAAGACACTAGGTCTTATTTTCGGGGGGTGTCTTATGTGTACCTGGCTGCAGCTGTCAGAGGCGGGAGGGAGCTGCGGCCGTGACATGTAAAATTCTATTATACCCCGAAAGTAAGACCTAGCGGATCTCTGTAATATAAGACCTACCACCGAACTAGGTCTTATTTTCGGGGTAGGTCTTATATTACAGAAATCCCTGATGATAGCACTAGGTCTTATTTTCGGGGTAGGTCTTACTTTCGGGGAAACACGGTATGTATGTATACACTATATCCTGCACTCCCCAAGTATACAAGGTATTCAGGTAGGTAGGGAAGATTTGAGGCTTGCCTTATCCGTGGACGACTGTCTTCTATTTACATCATGGCCTAAGGAGGATAATTTGGCGGTGCAGGAGTTGTTATTCACCACCTATTTCACCACCTTTTTGGGACTTCGAGTCAACTTTACAAAGAGCGAACTTCTCCCTCTCTCTGGTATGGTTAACACTGATTGGAAAAGCCACATGCTATTTAGGGTGGCACAGCGAGACATTACCTATCTAGGTCTTAAAGTGGACAAATCTCCCTCATCCCTATATTATCTCAACTACCTCCCTTTGATTGTTAAAGATAATTAGAGGACTAGAGATGTAGGAGAATCTTCCCTTATCACTTTTCAGGAGAATTCATTTAATTAAAATGTCAAGTTTTGCTAAATTGCTATCTCCCTTACAGGCTCTTCCTCTACTATTAAAAAAATAAGGATATTTATCTTATCACCAGAGCTATCTTGTGTTTTGTTTGGAAAGCAAACCACCCTAGGATATCGATTAAGAAATTATGGCTCCCAAAGAGTGAGGGGGGAGCTAATTTCCCAAATATCAGGTTGTATAATTATGCCTGCTTATTGAGACATGCGATAGATTGTCTGTCTAACAACTCTACTTATTCTAATACCTCCATTGAGGTGGAGTTCAATGCTCCATGGGATATCAAAGCTATTCTCCGTTGCAAACTTTCGGTTCTCCCTTCTGTTATTTGACCAAATTCTCTGTGCAGGGACACAATTATAGCTTGGAGAGCGATATGGAGAGGTCTCAAACTCTCCCCATTTCTCTCCAATTATTGTCCTTTGTTACGAAACCCTATGTTTCCTCGGGGAATGGGTTATGCTGCATTTCGTATTTGGCATTTAAAAGGTTTAAAACTGTGGAAGCAGTTGTTCGGTCCCAGCACGTTTAACCATACTCATTTCAGTACATCGTAAGTCCCTAACACATTCCCTCCCACTATTTTTTGCATTACCTGCAGGTCACTAAAACATGTTCATCTTAGACGTTCATCTTAGAACTACTCAATGAACAGTAAACACCTGTACAACTTATGTACTTTAATAAATGCATAGCACCGTGTTTGACTTTTGTCGATGCTCCAGTTGTCCATCAATCAGCATTAGAAATTTTCCAGCTATTACCACTGACACCATGCAACTCATGTTGTTGTCCAGGCCCCCTCATGTTATCTATATCCTTGAGAGCAACAGGGCATAGAGAAAGGACAATTAAACAGACTTTGCAATCACAGGGCATAGATAGCAGAAGAGGGAGCTTAATGACACAATGGGGGTGATTTACTAACCTAAACACACACACACACCAGGTGTGTGTGATTTTCACACAGCAAAACGTATTTATCAACTAAAAAGTCTCTAAAAGCATATTTCCACTAATGCCATATATGTAAAAATCATGCACATGATGCATATATAATGCTGCTTCACAGTTTAGACAAAAATGGTTAGCTCATGCATTTACATTCCTTGCATTCATCAACGCAAGCAACACAACATAGAGCTAATTTACCCAACATCACCTTGGAATTCCTTCAGGGCTTTGCACAACACACCTGCTGGGTGTGTACACATTACAAAGGTGTTTAGATTCCACCCATAGATCATGCTGGGAGGGAACACACTGCAGAGGTGTATACACGTTCGTGGTGTGTTTATAAGGTTAGTAAATCAACCCCAATGAGTTGCATGGTGTCATTGGTAATAGCTGGCAGTTTTCCAGTGCCGATTACTGGACAACCATAGCATGTACAGAAGTTAAACATGGTGCTATGCAGTCATCAAGGTACAGTACATGTGTCGTGTGACTGTTTCATGTTTATTGGGTAATTCGAGGGTGAATGTCCACTTTAATGTACTGCAACAAAATGCATTAGTGTGAATGGACCCCATTAAAAACATTTTCTCCTGGCAATACATCTTGCTGTACTGCAAAATAAATACTTGCAAACTGGAAAATAGTAAAAGAAGTACAGAGTGAACATGACCTTTAACATGCCCTGTTTAGCAAATTCCCAACATATTTATGACTATTTGTTTCAAATGCATGTGCCATATAGGTGGTGGGGCAAAATATGATACATTTTTTGTATTTATTTGTGTTCTAAAGTTTAACTTTGTCCCTGATGGTTCTTAACTCAATCTAGCTGTTAAATGCAGTTCATTTTAATCATCATAGTTAACTAGTTTAGCCATATTTCCTGAACGCTTAGTAATTTTGCAGGAGCATTAGTTCCCTCAGGGTGCTAGTGCATGTACTTAATAAACATGGGGGGATTTGTAATAATACCTACAGTTTGCGCTTAGGTGGAGTAGCTGGCTATTACATCATCATGGTAACCTACTGAATGGTCAGCAAATATAGTGCCTTCTGCAGATCAAACCTAAATACTTTTCAGTGCTTATTCACTAAATGGTGCTAAGAGCAAAGGATTTGTTCAAAGGTGCTTGCCCATAGTACTCAATCAGATTTTAGTTTAGTAGGATTAGATGAAGCAAAAATAGATTATTTCTGGTTTATATGGATTATTGCACTTTGTACATCATTTGGCTGTGCACTCCCTTATTCAATAAACCCACTGGCTTGTCCTTGTCCTGAGGAGTAAGCAATAGGGAGAATTAAAGCACTGAGCAACGTGCTAGAGTTCAGCAAGGATAGGCAGGGTATATAGACAGGTACACTCTGCTGCTAAACTGGGTATATGGAGTGGTGTTATCTTCAGGGGAACTGCTCAAGCAAGCATAGGAGAAAAATATATTTTCAAGGGTACTATTCTACTGAGCTTGAGATGGAAAGAGTGATATCTCTATATTTACAAAGTTGTGCTTAGCCAGGGATGGATGCACAGGGACAGTTCTTTGGACAGTGTGCACAGGACATTCCCAGGGAAAAAAATGCAGAAAAGAAAGAAAGGTTTGCAAAAAAGTAATTGTTTGTGTGATTTTGAACACTTGTATTTCTCTTTAGCCTTTATTCCTAAATTGACCTCACATTTCTCATAACTAGAAGACCATGAGGTCTTACTGAGAAATCTTTCATATGCATATTACTCTTCCAAGTAATCCAGGCAACTCATTTGCTTCCCCAGCCCGGTGTTGAGTCTTGCATGCAGACAGGTGTCAGTGTGCATCCAAACCTGCCCTACCTGAGTGTATAATGGCAGCGGCAGCATGTTAAGACATATAGTATGCCTTGTCAGTGGCGTAACAACCGGGGGTGCGGGGGGGTCACTTGCCCCGGGCGCAGGACTGAGGGGGGGCGCCGTCACGACCCCCGCTAATGTGCACCCCTTTTCTGTTAAATAGGCTGTTTGCTTTAAAAGGGAATTTTCTATTTGTGGGAGAATGCTTCCCCTTACTTTAATGAATATGGTGAAGCTCTGTCAATTTCCATCACCCATTCATGTACAAGCAATAATACACATAATTGGGTATTTTTTGCAAAGTGAAATTTTACCACATTCACCAAGCTACAATGAAAGTACCCCTGAAGAGGATAAAGTCCCTTGCAAAGTGAAAAACCTACTTGTCTTTAGTAAATCGACCCCTATAAGTTACCACAGTGCAGTTAACTGGTATTCATGCATGCACACTCTTTGTAATTGCTGAACACTAGTAACAACTTATATGAAACTAACGTAACACAACAACAAAAAACCACCGGTGCTCAGCAGCAGTTTGGTAAGCTAGTAAATGGGAGCCGCTTTAACAAAGCAAATAAATGATGACTAATAGCCTGGATGATTTGACTTTGAAAAAGAAGCCAAGAATATTAGCCAGTTGAGGACTCCCAATCACTCTCATTGATGATATGGAAGTGGCTACATTCATTGTCTGTACGGTGAACTGATGTATCCTTAGCTGTTTAAAAATCACTCTTGAGTATGAAGATGTCGATAAACATCTGCTCTTTTGCAAAAACGAAATGTACAGGCTCTTTATTATTCTATTCTGGCACTCAATATGGGTCTCATACATGTGTTTTATTTAAACACATGGGCATTTGATCTGGGAAGTATATGTTTGGTTATACTTCCTAAATTAATTTCCCCTATGTTTAATTGTACGTGCGTTTATATGTGTTTACATGCATTTATACACATTGTTCACAGTATCTAATCTGCCTCTGGATGCACAGATTTTTATTCTTTCTTAATGCAGATAACTGAATGCACCTGAACACGAGTATCATTATATGCATTTATATGCATTCACATAAGTGTGCAATTATATGCATTTATATTACTTTTCTAAGGACCCAACAGAACATTTCTTCTTACATGTTAAATTATCACTTCCAAAGAATAACATTTATACTTCAAGGGTGAGCATGTAATTTACAATGATCTGCAAGGTAAGCAATTAGATAATTGATGGAAATACATATTCATAAATATAAATACACATGGACCCATCCATTCATTCACCAACAAATCTGCATGACATCTATTCTCTTACCTCTTCTTTTTCAGCACAGAGCAGATCCCGCCACTCTTCGGTTACATGGCCAAAATCTACAGTGTTCATAGGGACCTTCACATCTCCAATGATGTCATGTTTAGAGAATCGATCAAAGTCATAAACAGTCATCACCAATGTCTTGCCTCCCAGCTCAGCGTAGGGCACCTATAAAAAGAAGAAAATCTGTTACTAATATGAATTCATTACAAACCAAGCAGGTTACCACTACAGCTAGAATCCAGAAAAACAAGTAAATATGCAAATTAAATAGATATAATAGAGCCGTGTTACCTGACTTTTCCCTACTGCAGAAAAGTAATACAATTATGTCTTCTCTCAGATGGAGACTGGACAGTGAAGAAAAAAATCAGGTGACCTTATACCTCTGTCACCTTGTCTCTCCTCCTATCAGTGTGCTTCATGATAGCACATGAACACTGCACCACAACCTATTGGCTTCCTTTTTTGCTTCTTCCTCCCCTAGTCTAAGTTCTCTTATACAAGGACTGCAAGAGGCTGATACCAAGTTAAATTCAAGTACTGCTTTAAAGTAATGCACTTAAAGTGACAATAAACTCAGGAGTTAAACCTTACCAATGCATTCAAGTACCCTAACTGTTAACAAAAGGGTAGCTTATTTGTGCATCATTCAGCTGTAGATCCTCAAACCATCTCTGAATTAGTGCTGACACTGTCCTTCCTTCTGGAGGGTGGCTACTTTTGTTCCCCTTGGTCCCTGTGTGTGTTTTAAAGTAGCCACCTCTTCAAGCTCACTCCCATGATGGACTACAATCTCAATAAAAAATAGTAAACGAAACCTGAAATTGTAGTCCATCACAGGAATGAGTTTGGTGCGGTGGCTACTTTACAACACACACAGGGACCATTGAGAACAAAAGTAGCCACCCTCCAGAAGGAAGTATGGTGTCAGCATGAATTAATAATTAGAGGATCTACAACTGAGTGATGCAAAGATAAGCTACATTTATGCTAATAGTTAAGGTACTTGAATATATTAATACCTCATGGGTTTAGGGTAACTTTAATTATTTTTAATGAACAAGTGCTTGCATGTATTGATGTTTGTTTTTTTTTGCCTGGAGTTCAGCTTTCATATAGAATAAATATAGTAAAATACCAAAAGTGTAGTTCATTTACAACTTATAACAAGCAAAATGGGCTCTTGTTAATTTTTTTTATCGTATAACACCAGTGAAATCATGGTACATTGAGAGAACTTTGAAATAAACTGCTAAATAGTTTTATACTGTTGAAAGGTGCGTATAATTTCATTAAAATGTATGCAGAGCATAAAGGTCCTGTACATCACACTGCATGCACCTGAAATGGTTGATATTCTTGTGCAGAATCTCAGAAGATGTAATGAATACTTCAAGGAGATAAACACTGGCTAGCTCTGAGTAAATCAAGGTCAGTGGAAAGTACTGCTCATCTGCAACCGAGGTCTACAATAACTCCTTAGGATGGGAGACGTACGTCCCCGCCACTAAGTGCCCAAATGACGTACACGTGATCAGCTATTTGAGGCACTGCAATGCTGGTAACCGCGGAAAATCAGCATTGAGGCATCCATTAATGAGGCATCCAAGAGTTAAGCTTTTCCAGACACCTGATCCCTTTCAGGAATCGGGTGTCTGACAGTTATAGCAGAGCAGTATTTACTGCTCTTGCTGTCACTCTGACAGATCGGGAAATCCCGATGTATACCGGCTTTTTTTTCTAAAGTTTCTGCATTAGAAAAAGTGTTTTCTTTATATTTTTTTTACAAATTTTCTAATATTTTATTTGTCCTAAGTGAGGCGTTATGCACATATATGTGATATAAAGATATAGCCCTGTCTGTCCTCTAAAAAACAATATATAATATGTGTGGGTGCACTTTGTAAGAAAGTATATTACTGACGTGGAAGAACCACACAGCAAAAATTTAAAAAGTGCGTCAGTCATTAATGAACAGAAACTAAAAACAAGGTCAGTCATGAAGGCGTTAATAGTTAAATATTCTTAAAGAAGGTAAGTACAGAATATGTGATTCTTTAGATACAGTAGTACATCTCCTTCAATGCTTGTATAATCACTTGTAGGGAAGGAATCTTTTATTTCCTGAGAGACAATTGTTGAGCTCTGTTTTCTCTACCAGCTATGGGACTGTGTTAACCAAGAAATAATTAAAAATGCTTTGTTTACTTTACACTAATTAATCATTATTTTCAAAATTAAATGGGAATTATAGGGTCAAATGTTTCTATGATATTATAATGTCTCTATTAATATTTATAACAGTATATTATAATGGACATTTAGGCATACACTCTGGTGTTAATAGATACACATTTGTAAACCATGTTGGTTTTACTCCACCTGTTAATGAATTGTTTATGCATGGGCACAACAGAATGCCTTTGATGGGTTTTGTTCAATAATTTGCCATAAAATACTTCTTATTAAGTTATAATAATTAAGGCGAATAAGCCTTTATTAGGCTGACAACATTGATGATTTAAAAACTAGGTTTGGAAGTATGCTGTGTCCATTGGATGGTATGCTTGGATGAGATGCTATTACTAGATCCTATTCCTAAGGTGTTTAGCTAATTTAACAAGGCAATTGTTTACTAAAAATACAAATCACCAACATACATGGACTGTACATAAGGGTACCTTATATTACAAGACACGTACACAATTAAAGGAGAATTGTGAGGAGAGTGAAATACACACATCCCCATAATTAGAGCTGAAGTGTGACACTGCAGCTGTCACACGTCGACTCCATAGATCGACAACTGAGCGATCACAAACTGCTGATCGCTCAGTTCCCAATCTTTTCCCTTCAGAGAGTGGTGACTGTCATCATTGCTCCCCACAGGGATCCCCTCTCCCCTTTCTCTTGTTCCTCCAGCGCTGACTGGAGAGACAGACATGGGAGGGGGTGGGCACAGGTAGAGAGGCAGAGCCAGCTGACAATCATGTGGCTGGGTGGATCCCAACAATATTGTCGCTATTTTCTGAGTTTTGAGTCACAGGAGAACATAGTAAATGTCCTCCTGTGACTCTAAAGGGAACTACGGCCAAAAAAGGTTTGGCCATAGTTCTCTTTTAACTACAGCCTGATAAAAAAAAATTAAACTGCTGGAGAAAAAAAACCCATAAGCTTGGCTTTTATTTCCCAAACTGTACTTAATATAAATATTAGTTGGCATGACACTGGTTCAGTGGTCAAGTGACCCCATTTCCTTCCACTTATTAAAAATTATAAAGAAAGAATCAGTCTACCAAAAAGCAATATATACTGTAAGTCTAAAACTCTGCAGGTAACATGGGTTTGCACATCTGCTGTGGTCATTGTGAGGGAGTACTACTCTCTTTTTTTGAATATTTTTTGTATTTAATCCACATTATCAAGATTTTAGAACATGTGCAGGAACGTGTTATGTTATACTATTAATTTTGTTTGTGTCATCCACAATGTTACGAATTACAGAAGTACTAAAGATAAGTGGTTTCTAATTATTTCATTAAAGACAATGCATTATTTAGAAAAGGCATAATCAGCTTATACTGGTTTATGCTTTAAAATGTGCATTTTAGTTTGAAATGTTGTTAATATTGATTACGCCATATGTTATGATATTATTTCAGCTAATGACTCATCTGGGATGACTCATCTTCATGCTGAGTATCTAATAATAGTCTTTCAACATTTGTGTTTATGTTATGTTGTATTTTGGCTTTTATCCATGTTCCTCTTCCAAGAGGCTTTGTAACTATGTCTCAGTGAATAACTGCAGAATAAGCAGTGACATTGCTGTAGAGTTTGAAGAACAACAAGACACAATCTTTGGGAAACATTTTGAAGAGATGGCCCATTAAAAAGAGTTGGAAATCATATCTATTAGAATAAATGAATTTCAAATAAAATTATGTTGTTGTTCATATCATCTTGCTTCTCACTCCATATTGATGTTGAGATATTGTAAAGCTGTGTAGAGGTGATCAGCGAGCTTCCAATGATTATGTTTTAAATGTAACATAGAGTAGAACAAGAAACAACAAAGGCATTGTTTTAACAGATATTGTTGTTGCTTGTTATAAATGGCTTACTTACCTGGCAAATTATAAAAAAGATGAATTTTTATGCTGCTTAAATAAAATTTGAATAGTTTGATACTTAATCTGGCTGGCCTTTCCAATCAGTCATTGGAAGTTTACATAATTTCCAAAGATAAGGCAATTTTCAGAAACCCTTCTGTGTTCTTGTTTTTTACTGCTTTTCTCACTCCTGCAGTGTCACTGTAATATTCCCAAAAAATGGGCATCCACTGATGCCCATTTACAAGAGGCAACTGATTTTCTAGTGGAACGTTATAACACAAATCTGTTGTAAATCATTACTGGTCCAAATGACATTTTTGAACAGTAAATATACTACACAAAGATTTACCTGGCCATAGCAGGGAGGGAGACTGGACCAGAGAGATGGCCTGTCTGCTGCCCATGGCAGGTTGGTGATCTGGGAACAGAGGTCATTGACAGATTTTTACTGCGTATAATACATAGCAGTCCTGAAAACATTTCTGACACCGAAGGCAGCCGAGTGAATAACCGAGACGAAGTGAACAGAGCTGAACGCTGTTCGGCTATTCACTTTAGCTCAGTACAGCTAATTTCAGCCATACATCGGCTAAAATTAGCCATACATCAGCTGAAATTAGCCGTACATCGGCTTGCTTCGGTTCAGTCGAACATGCTCAACTTGTTCGACTGAGCCGAGGTGAAGAACACGTTCAACTCAACCGATCCAACATCTAGATCGGCTGTGCTGAACCTCCAGCAGGCTACTCGCTGCCATTCAACTGAACCGAAGGGCTCCGGCGGTCAGGGCATCCCGAGGCCGGGTGTCACCTGGAGCGGTTACCGGGTGACACCCCGCCGTGACGTTACCGCGCATGCACGATTATGTCATCGCACATTTGTGCGGCGATCTTATTGATACCTGCTGGCGGCCATCTTGGTGATGGATGCCGGCAGAGAGAGGAGGGGACAGTCACCTGGCTGGATAAGGTATGCAGCCAGGTCCCCTCCTCTCTCCCGAAATTGTCGGACACTCGGTCCATGACTGAGTGCCCGACTTTTCAGAGAGTG